ATTATGTTCTGTGTGTGTGGGGCAGGGAACGGGGGGATTATTATGTTATGTGTGGGGGGCAGGGAACAGGGGGTGTATTATTTTATATGTGGGGGGGGGGTAATATTGTTAAAGTTGTTAATATTTATTCCTGTAACTTTATTCTGCATAAAACATGTAACAGTCTCACTGACAAGATTATTTAAGGGGGTGTGTTTAGGGGCGGAGTTAAGGCTGCGGGAGGGTAGGGGTTAGGTGGGTCACTGGTGGCGAGTAACTCTTAAGGCCTGGCTAGTAGCTCAGGACTTGAAATTTTGACCCCTGTTCTATTCAATACCAAACATCATTATTGCTCAATAAAGTTGTCTAGGACAACGATGGGTCGATGGGATGGTGTTGGGGGCGGGGGGTGGACCAAACCAGATGACCACAGGTGGTGCAGAGATGTCAACCAGGGAGGACAGTTTATAGGGTAATAAGGAATAGACACACGTGCATCAAAACTGGATGCAACTAAATTGTTTAAAGGAGAACTATGGGGTCAGTGTTTTTCCCCATAGTTCTCCTTAGGGTAACGGGAGGACACAAACTAGGGTCCTCCCGTTACCCTAAGCTCAGTATACCACGAGCTACAGCTCGCGGTATACTGAGACGCGGCAGCCGGAGCGGATTCCCGACGTAGATGACGGGATCCGCCCAGCTGCGTGAGTGACAGCTGGCTCTGCCTATCTAGAGGCAGAGCCAGCTGTACCCGCCCCTCCCCCGTCTGTTCCGCCAGTCAGCGCTGGCAGATCGGAGAGGGGAATGCAGCCGGTATGTGTTAGCTCACCTCCCGATCTACTGAGCCGACCTGTGACAGTCTCATTGTCACAGGTCGGCTAGAACTATGAGGTGAGTGAAAAGCACTCACCTCATAGTTCTCCTTTTAAGGTAAAAAGACGCTCTAAAATGTTAAATTAAAGATGTGCACTTTAAAATAGATAAACAAACATCATATGTTGTGCTTTGAGCAAATCCAAAAATTAAAAACTGGTGCCAAAAACCAGTTGCAGGATGCAACAAAAATGGTACTGTGCAACATTCATACATACAGAATAAGAATAGATAATTGGCATTACACCCAGCATACAAAACGAGAGAACTACAGAGCAACATTTATACATAGAGAGTAAGAACAGATACTGGAAATTACACATTGCATACAGAATCTGGGAAGTGATACTGTGTCCAATTTACATACAAAGAAAGAAAAAACCCAAGAATGCTATCCAGTGTAACAAAAGAATTAGTATTATGCTATGTACAATATATGTAAATGTTGTCAACCTTTTAGAAACAGCAACCAAAAGGGTGAAATACACATCTGTGGCATTTTATATATATATATATATGAGCACAAGGTTAAAGAGGGCTCTCGTTGTGTTCTACAAGTAAAGGAATCTGCTATGCAGTCACCTTAATGTGCTTATATTTTGTGTACCCTGGTTGCTCACAGAACCTGGCTGGTGGGAAGGGCCGGCAGAGTGTTGTACATAGTTTCCTGAAAATATCACAGCACCCTGCCTCGGTACTCCTCAAGAGTCCCCAGCCTTGACTTGTGTAAATGGCAAATTATGAATTTCATTTGTACATGATTATTGCTCCATGCCCATTCTTTTGTGTTATAATTCTTGTTTTTATTAATATATTGTTTTTTGCTTCTAGGATCATACCTGGCGAACTGTGATGAGGAGAAACTAGGTGAGAGACTTCCACATCAAACAGCCGCCTTCCACACTGCCTGTGCCTTATCTAAAGCATGGAGTTAAAAGTCTGGGTGGATGGAGTACAGAGAGTCGTATGTGGGGTAACAGCGCAAACATCCTGTCAGGACGTGGTCATTGCACTGGCCCAGGCCATAGGTGAGTGCACTTGGTGTTATTGATGCCTAGAAGCTGTTATGTCCATGTGAATAAGTCCGTTCCATTTCTATCCACACACGGGGCAATTTGTCAAACAGTTGTAATCTGGTCAGATTTATTAGCAACCAGATTGCATAGTACGGACTTCTTTAACATTTTATAATATGACAGCCATCTGCAATGATACTAAACCAATGCATGCTTTAATATAAATTTTTGTTCTGTAAATTAGTACATAGTAAAAGTGTTAGAATGCACATTAGGGGGAATTTATCAAAGCAATTACAACAGTTTTAGCCTCCTTTTTAAATCCTTTTTTTTTTTATGTGCAAATCCGTCTTTTAGCATGTGCCCCTGTTTTCACCTGAGCTTGCACTACTTTTCCAACTGCACGTGTTTTGCCCCTGTTTTCACCTGAGCTTGCACTACTTTTTTAACTGCATGTTTTTTGCACCTGTTTTCATCTGCACTTGTTCTGGGGCTGTATGAAACTGGAGCATCACCTAGGAAAACAATCACAACTTAAGAATGACCATGACCACTTCAAGAAGCGACAGTGAAGCTTTTTGCCTAAAGTTACGAGTCTTCTTTCCTGGAGTCTATTAAACCTCATTTATCAACAACATTACACTAGCATCATAAATCTGGTGCAAATATATTCCGTGCAAGTTCAAACACTCGCACTTGCTATGATAAATTCCCCCCAATGTATGTCTAATGAATATTACATTTATTATCAAGGCTTAGACTGCATTGATAAATAAGGAGCAAATAACGTGGGAAATTTGTCACTTAAAGAGATAGGACAGAAAAGTGGAGCAACTCCCTAGATAAATTCCCCCCACTGTGTCTATTGCATCAACTACGGCAGTTTACATTTTCGGTCACTAGATGGCAGTGTTTATAAGTTCTGTTACATATCTGTAGCGATAACTCCCCGCTAAGGAGCCGCTGTTTGCCTGGTCCACATCTAGTCAGTCTAGGAGTTGATTTCCAGCTGCACCCATTAGCACTAACCTCCCATAAAGTGATGTCCACTTCAGTATTATGATGCTAATTGAACAGTTTATTGAACATATTCTGTGGGAGAGAGGGTATAGGGTCTAAGTGTCCAGGCCTCCTTAGCTCCAGACTCAATTGATCTCATATTTAGGGAGTACATATCCACATGAAAGAACACTGACCCCGCTCTGAAGTCCTCATAAATCCAAGGCACCTCAAAAGCCTGCATTGGTCCTGGTTTTTCCATCTCTCAGGCATTCTCCAGGTTGGAAGCCTCCAAGGGAACCTCTCTTCCATCAACTCAGTGAATGCCCACCCCCAGGCTTCGGCCTAGCCTGGGGGTGCAGGCTGAACAGGACCCAATCTTAATCCATGGCTGGTCCAGGCAAGCGAGAGCACATGGCAGCTCCCACCCATATATGTACACTCTGTCAGCAGGCACCACTGGCTGCTAGAAGCCCAGTGACTGGCTGCTGCCCTGTACACACATTACAGTGTCGCCCATTGGCTGTCCCACAATGTGACAGAGTCCCACTCCGCCCAGGGGGTACAGACAAGGTTAGACACCTGGGATTAACCATGTACTTACCACTACAAATCCAGCCAGGCTGTCTACAGCCCTGGCTATCACTAAATGCATGGTAGTCACATCACAAAAGGTGATGGGCGCTACATATCTATGGCAGATATACTCTGTTGTATTGAATAAGGTAGAAAATAAAGCTGTGGCTTCCTTCCTGTTGTCAAGCCATGTGCAGCATGCATATCAGACTGTCTGCTTGTGTTTCTCTGTGAGGCTGTGCAAGAAGTTCCAACACAAAGGAATAAAGATACAGTATAGCACATTTTAGCATAATATTCAATGAAAGTCTAATAATAAAAATTTAATAAAGAAAAAACTTTAATTAGACATTCTTCCTGAATTTCCTGAATTGTTATTACTACAAATTTATCTTGTATACTTCTTCTTTTGTTACAGGTCAGACAGGGCGTTATGTCCTAATCCAAACACTACGGGACAAGGAGAGACAGCTTCTGCCCCACGAGAGGCCTTTGGAATTCTTGTCCAAGAGTGGACAATATGCCAATGACGTCCATTTTATACTGAAGCGCACAGGGCCCAGCTTAACGGAACGTCCCTCCTCAGACAGTGGTCCCCTTCCTCCAGAGAGAACTTTTGTAAGGTCCAGCCTGCCTCTCAATCCTAAAGTTCACAGTACAGAGGTCACAAGGTCAAAGGAACCTAAAAAATCTTTGACTTTTAATTTGGGACCTATGAGCTCAAGTGATCTTTTGCTAAAACACAGGCAGAAGCAGCAAAATGGTACAGTTGCAAAAGACAGTTCTTCTAAGCAAACCACCAAGGATGACATATTTAAGCTGGTGTTACAACAGCAAGAACAACTGAAGGCCATGGAAATGCAGAACACCTCTTTAGGCAAGGACCTCCAGACATGGGAACGAGGCAGGGTTGGTGGGCCACATGAGGAGGATGAGGACGAAGTTGCTTTCTTGGAGAGACTCATTCGCCGAAATGAATCAGAGCTTGGAGAGGAAATGTTTTGGCTGGATGAGCTGGACAGAGAAAGAGCCGATGAGCAAAAAAGGCAAGAGAAAATGAGGAACTTAAGAACCACAATGGAAGATTACACAATGAAAATCAACGAGCTGAGTGAAAGGACTGAGGCTTTAGAGAAGGAAATACAGAGAGAGACCTCAAAGAGACTGTCTGGACAACCCAGTCAAGCTGACATTGCAGAAATGGTGACTAAAATGAGAAAAGAAATGGAGGCAAAGGCTGGACAGAGCCATCAAATGGAGACTAATTTGTCCAATGTGGAAAAGGCTTGCGAGGAAGCCAAAAGGATTCTGGAGGTAGGCTTACTCAACCGTAGAATTGGATTATGTATATAAGGCCAGTAATTGCTTTAATCCAAAACTACTGTTATAAGCTTTTATTTATTAGGCACTGGTGGACCCTTCAAGTCTTATGTCTCGTGTTGGGTAGGTGTATACAGTAAAACCCTTGGGAAGCGTTTCTAAATCTTAGGCCTGCTGATTGTACAGTAGCTTAATTCATACTCATAACTTTCATATTTGCAAAGGCTAAACAGGTTTTGGCCAAAGCCTGGAAATTGACTACCCAAAGTGTGTTGCTTGTCAAAAAGAAGATGTCTTGGTATGGTGAACCAACATATTGCTGCTATCCGGCATGACACTATGCGAAAGTTCCATAACATTTGGAACCCCTGAATAACCAATTATATGTCACTAGGGGTGGGACAAATGTTATGACCGACGTGCGCATTCATGCGAAAGAGGTGGTGTGGATACCCCAGGTTCACTTCCCTCCCTTCCCTCTTCTGTTGTTCTGGAACCTTCTCCCCTCTGTTTTCCCTTATTCCCTTCTCTGTACTTTGTTCTCTTTTTGGTTTTTCTTTTTTTTGCTCCCTTTTCATTGCTCCTTTTTGTTCGCTCACTGTTTAGTAATTTACCAATGATGGGCTTAGTATCTGTCTTTATGTGCAGGCCCCATTTTTATTGTTCTACATGCTTCAATAAATTCCTGAATTTGGAGGCTCTTGGATGGTCACTTTTCATGTTAGGGCCCGTTCTGTTTTGAATTGTATTGAACTGTTGTGTATGTTCTTGAAGCTCATGTCTTAGCTTTGGATTTTGGCTTTCACAATTTCCAATAAAAACGATTGAGACTAATAAAAACAAACCTGTAGGGAAAGCCATTATTAAATATACATACCTTTCCCCTGGCATCTAGGCGAAATGACGCCATGCTCCTTCCGGTGCGATTCCAAGGAATGCTAAGTAGCCCAGATATCATAAGACACTCCTGCGCTGTGATATTGCTTCATCTTGTGAGATCTGGCCTACTCAGCATTCTCTTGGAGCTTGACATCGCCTCCTGCGGTATGGAATCTGGGGGAAAGGTAATTATATATTAAGGTTTTTTTTTTTTGTTTTTTTTTAAATCTTTGAATGCAGTATTTTGGCATGGGGGGAGGGCAAAGTAGATAAGCGGCTCTTGCTTGTAGCTCAAGGTCCACTTTCTTTAGGACAATCAAGGCCATGTGCAAAGCAAGATTAAATTGGCAGAAAATCAATATTGAGTTGAACTTTCAGTACATTATACACTTCTGTCCCCAAAACAGTTTAATACTCAAACTAAGTCAGCAATATTCTTCACAGACATTTCTGCTGTATCGTGTATACAAAAAGCAAGTGAAACAGTGATGCCAAGAACTAAAACAAAATCCTTTGGCTGAGCCTAACAGGATGTCCCACAATTCACTCCGGCGTGAATAAAATTAGTAGAAGGCTTGGAGTTTTCATCTGCCCGCCAAGTCCTGGTATTCAAATACATCTCCCCAATATCTCAATATGCCTCTGTCTTTTTTCTTTCCCAGCCATCTCTTATTCTGTCATTGTAGACACTGAAGGGGTGTGAAGACAGGCTTTATAGAGCATTTTCACCATCATTAAAAACTCTGTCCAGCTCCTGCTCTGCAATTAGTGCAGATTCACCTGGGAGAATGTTTTATAAGCCTTAATGCACTGCATGACCTTTGAACTATGGGTGGCAGGCTTTGAAGGACCAATAAGGAGGATTGTGAATACGCCAGCTGCCTTACTATAAACAGGGGGGGGGGAGACACAGCATGGCCATAGTGTCAGTGAACTGGAAGCTGCTGTAGGTAAAGAATAGGGAACATTGACAAACTGCATAGGGATAGATTGGGCTCAGTGAGGGCACGGTACTTTCATTCTGATTGCTCTCTCTTTAGACAGTCAACCCTTTTGCATTTTTTACATTATTCTTTATTGTTCTTTAATTGTATTATTGTTCTTTAACTGTATTGTGGTTTTAATGGTTAGCGCTTACTTTTACCTGCTGTCTTGTCCATAGCAAACTTTTTTTTTTTTTTGCCTCAAGGCATCCCTGGGCTTTTGTTTTGGTGGCGATATTTTGAGGTTTTCAAACCCTCATCTACAACCTTCCTTGTAATCTCTGATGTTCATGCAATAAAGTGTTACTCAAGTACACAACTTTTTTTTTTTTTTTTGTAACAGGTTAACCCTTTCAAAGTCAATCCAAGTGACAGAATTAAACATTTACATTGTTTTTAATACGTAGAACCTTTTCCTTGATGTGATCTTTCTAGTTAAGATGGCAGATGGAGATAATGAGTCACAAATGATGTCCATTTCATGTAAAAAATCATTTTACAGATGAATAATCTGCAATATAAATTGTGCTGAGTTTATTATAGTGGTGGCACACTATTGTATATTTGTACATTCACACAATGAGGTGATTCATGATCTTCATACATTCAGTAGTGCCATCTAGTGGAATATTTATGTATTGCAGGAGATATATAATTAGGTACTTTATGATAATGCCCTCTGTCGCTATGTTGCATGCATACTATACTGTCTTTTCTTCTTGGCTTGACCATTTTTCTGCCAGATTTGATTGACTTTTGTACAGTGGTATTTGATAAAGGGCTTTTTATGCCTACAATGGACTGTTACTTCATAGTAAATGTGATGATGATTATTTGCAATATTGTAAAACAGTGAGAGCTGAGAATAACAGTCACATAGCTGAAAATAACAATAATTATAGTAAGTAACAAAGGCATTATGGTCCTGTAAATTTAGTCTAACATTTTGCATGGATTTGAACAATGGTTCTACTTATTTGGATTTTATTTGAATCGCAGTTTCTAATTTTAGGATTGCATGTGTGTGTGGATGTCATTTTTTATAATTTAATACTGTGGGTCTATTATGTTTGCCATTATTAATAATAATTAAAAGGGACTGATGTCTAATGCATTTTTTTAATGTTTCGTTAGAGGATACAACCATAATAAAACAAGACTTTGAAATTGTGGCAATATAAGACATTCAGCGATCTATTTGCATTGTCAATCACTATACCAGGTGTGGGCAACACTACAAATCCCATGCCTCCGCCTCTGGAAGTCATACCTGTAACTGTCAGTTACACAAACAATTAGCGAGCTTTTAGTGCCCGCCTCCAGTAAGCATCACACCTAATAATAAAATCACAGAATCCAACCTGTGTAATCTTATGCAGCCACAGAACACACACAGCACCTCACAGGGCCATTCGAAAGGCAGTAGAAGTTTACTTTCTGATGACTGTGCTGTATTGTTGTCTTTATCTCTGTTCTTACATGGCCAATCACATTCAAACATCCTCCGCAGATTTGAATCTGATTGGACACCATGAGAAACATCTTAGTAGTGATTTTGTTAGTTTGAGCTTTCTGTAAATTACATACAGTAAGCAGGGCATTCCGACATAACAGACAGGTGTGTTCTAAGAGGGAGGGGGGGACCAGTGCATTTCAGCTATACATGTACTTGGTGCTAAGAGGGTAGGCTGGGCTTTTTTCAAGGCTTAAAGAAGAACTCCAGGGAAAATTATTCTTAATCCTTGCAGTGGGGCTACCCCCGCATTACAAGGGTTAAACGAAAACTATGAGTTGAGTGATTTTCACTCATCCTCATAGTTCCAGCCGACGTGTGACAATGAAACTGTCACATGTCGGCTCAATAGATCGGGAAGTGAGCAAACGCATACCGTCACTCGCTCACTTCTCGATCATCTCGCTGCAGAGAGCAGTGACTGTAAGTCACGGCTCCCTGCAGGGATTCCCGCCTTCTTGCTCCGTTCCTCCAGAGCTGACTGGAGCAATGGATGACGGAGGGGGCGGGTACAGCTGGCTCGGCCTTTTAGATAGGCAGAGCCAGCTGCCACTCACACAGCTGGGTGGATCTCGACAGCATTGTCAGGATCCGTCCAGGCTGCGGCGGTCTCAGTATACCGAGAGCTGTAGCTCGCGATATACTGAGCTTTGGATCACGGGCGGACGCTAGTGGTAGACCCACTTCAAGGGTTAGGAATAATTCTGCTTTAATTCCCTATTTTATCTGGAGTGTACCATATCTAAAGGCAACAAAAAAAAATCTGTTTTGGAAAACATAAAGCAGGATTTTCAGGAAGGCTTAAAATCCTGGACGTTTGAGTGGGATCCTTTGTGTGGTAATAGAGAGAGTCATTGTCTCCAACAGTCTTTGTACATTGGGTACATTTCCTTTCACTTCCCGTCACAAAGACATAACAGGAAGTTAGATAGAACCTTCCAATGAGGGGAACTCCCCTCTTGGTTGTCCCTGAACAGGTGCCCCCATTGGAAGATTTTCCCTTTTACTTTTTGTTCTGGAGAAAACTTAGTTTGGATTTCCCCTCACTTTATGTTTTGGGGGAAATAGCCACCAGTACAAACAGAGGGGGGAATCTACACCAGGGGTGGGCAACTCTGGCCCGTCAGCTCTTGTGGAACTACAAGTCCCATGAACTATTGCAAGATTGACAGTTGCAGGCATGACTTTTTCACGGACATCAATAAAAATTTGACAGAGGCTCTAACCTTACCTTAACCTATTAAAAAGCAAAAACATTTTTCCACGAGAGATGTTTTAAAATCTCTACACAATGAAACAGGATTTCTCTTTTATATTGCGTCTCCTCAATCGCCCGTCTCCTGTTTTGAGCTACTTAGAAGGTGTAAAGTGAAAATGTCACTCCAGTACAGCCCAATGTTATTCTATGACATGTGGAGGTAGTATAAAGCTGAGCTCCAGGCATATATAAGACACAAAAATCTACATGGAGCTAATCATGAATACTCATCAATAAATGTATTTTGCAGTGTAAGCCCTGCATTTCTCTTGGCAATGGCCTCTTGCAATCCCTTATGCAGCAGAGCTCAGACTGTTAAACAGAGAGGCAGCACAAAGAGTTGTGCTGATAGGATGAAAGAGCAGAGTGACAAAGAAAGGAGTTCACCAGTCAGCTGCTTCTTAGTGCATTGTCCATTCAAAGGCTGTGGGAGGGAGAAGGCCTGTAAGTGTTGATATTTATCTACTACTATCAGGTAAAGGCTGTGCTGTGTGCCAGAGTTGTGTAAATCTCAGGACTGAATGAACAAAAATACAAAACCTTTGGCAGGTAAATCCACTCCCTTTATATAGTTCATCTGTGTATTTACCTGGAGTTTAGATTTAATTTCTACAGCCTAGCGTTGTCTATTAGTTACACTTCTGTGTACTTTTTTGTAGGCCCTGATGCAGCAATGTCTGGATCGGGTGTGAAGATAAGGACCTCTGACCTTTTTTCAGTGACTCAAACAGCATTAAAGGCCGTGGTTTAGTATACGAGTCAGTATATTAGAAATGTCTTAGGAGGTCAGCAATGGCAGCCCCCATACTGACAGGAGGCAGTAGATGGAAGGACACACTTGGTTGTACAATCCCATAGACTCTTCATGGCTTTCAATAGGACTGCATCGAATGCACAGTGACCGTGATGATCTTGATTATCATTTTGCACTTTAATGAGAATTTATTGAACATTTTCTTCACAGACCAAAAGCCAGGAACTGGAGGAGCTCAATAAGGACCTCAGACAGTGCAACCTTCAGCAATTCATTCAGCAGACGGGATCCACAATCACCAATGGACAGCTCCGACCAAGTGAAGAATCTCTAAATGAACAGAGCCTCTCACAGTGGGAAGAACAATTTGGAAGTATAGGTATGTATGCAGGATAACAGAAGGGGAACCAGAGATATATTGTCCCTGTAGAAACCTTGGTGCACAATTGTTCACTTTAAGGTCATTGCAAATGTCAAGGGAACACTCTTTGCACCTGGAGGAAAAGACGTTTATGCTCCACATATGTAGGTTAGACCTCCATTCTTCTTTACAATAAGAGCTGTGGTATAGACTTTTAAGTGACCCTTTCAGTACAGACCCGGGTCACTTTGTAAATAGGTGCCTGATATAAGCCCGTTTATTTATTTTTTGGCTCCTCTTCACTGCTCCCTAGAGGCTGCAGGTATTCAAAAGGTTGAATAGGATAAATTCCTTGGACAATGAGCAATTTCGTTCTCTCACCTCTGACACCAATGATCTTTATAGCTATCTGTAAGGGAGGATTCTTTCCAGTGACCATCACACATAGTACACAAATGGTAATTATTAGCAGGGGATCCCTGACACTGTAACGTTATTTCAAGGTTGGGGAAGACTGCAATAGACACTTGTGTGCTGAATGTCATGGCACACAAAAAATGTGATTGTACTAGATCATATGAGAGATTAAATACAGGTATCTACAAGCGGTCTGATTTTTCAGTGCACCAGATGAGATAACACTAGGGATGCAACGATACCGAGTATTTGGAAGAGTACTCGTACTCGCCCAAATGCCTTGATACTTATCCCCGATACCGGAACTTCTGCTCAGAGGGAGATTTCCTCTTACCGGCGGTGCTGTAAGGGAACATGGAGCAGCTTCCCAGCTAATCAGGAAGCCGAGCAGCGGGTAATGACCCCCTTACCGGCTTCCTGATTGTGCGGGAAGCCAGCTTCCCGGCCATACACAACATGGACCCAGCTTCCCGGCCAATCAAGAAGACAGTCAGGGGGTAATGACACGCTGTCCGGCTTCCTGATTGCCCAGGAAGCTGGCTCCACGACAGCGGAAGTATCAGTACTCGGTATCGGCGAGTACCGAAATATAAATATCGGTACTGGATACTGAAAAAACGGTATTGGTCCTTCCATAGGTAACACCATATAGACCCATGTGATATACTAAATATGACATTTGTTTTTTTAACAGGGCACTCTGAATCTCTGCCACGACTCACCACCAACCATCTGATGGGTCATCCTCGGAACTTACAGAACTCGCTGCTCTCTGGTCGGAACCCTGAGGGTGTGTATGTGTGACTCCTCGCTCTGCGCACTCTGCTTCTTGCTCTCCTGGTGGTGGGTGCTTTATGCATGTATAATCAGACTGCTTTCTTGTGTACAGACTCATGATGGTGTGCAGCATGCAGAAAGAACAGAACTGCCATGAGAGTGGCTCTTACCCATCATAATTTGGACTAAGTGTATAATCACCAATTGCTAAACACCTGTATTTTGTCCTTTTTGACATTGCTAGTTTCCAAGCTGTCATTTCGATCCAATGCTTGCAGTATTTTTTGAGGCTCTGACCTGGAACAAGTATGCATATCAAGAAGTTCTGACTTGATTTTTGACTTTCTAATCTCCCTGCTTGTTCTGGGACAGCAACTTCAAGTATCACAGCCAGGAAAAGCCAGACAGCTTGTATTGTTAAGAGAGCTCAGCTATGGTGGAGGTGGATTTAATTCTACACTAATCCACACTAATGAACAATGGAACATGCCGGGGACCGGTACATAATATAATGTGGGATTGTCTTTAAATGACACCTAATTGGATAAGTGGTATGGATGAATGTTCATCATCATGAGTCTATTGCAGATGTACTGAATTCTTTATTTGATTTACCATTGATTGAATATTGCATGAATACAACACTAGCAAATCAATTCAATACAAGCAAGTCATAGCTTTACTGCAGGGGAAATTACTTCCTTATTATTGCTTTAGACATTTGATAAAATTGACCTTCACCCAAAACTTAAAATAAAAACTCTACTAAGCACTGTTCTTTGTAAAATTGACCACACGACCGTCTCACCCACTGATACTCACATTTTATAGCTTTCTCCTACTGTTCTGCGGGAGCCATGAAGCTAATCCTTGTGTAAGCTTGTTGATGGACAGTGTTTGGGCCTGGCAATTGGCCACTTCGGTCTAAGCACTGCATCCTGGGATAAAGGGGGAAAAGGCACATGCTTTGGGGCATTTCACTGCATTCTCGCAGACAAATGTAACAGCAGGGAGCGTGTGAAAGTATCAGCAGGTAGGGGGTGCCTTATCAAGAGAACCTGTCACTTTGCCTTTAATTTGCAATATGACAGATTTGTTTTTTTTACTTCCTCCTTAGCTGCTGTGGCCATTGAGGCATCCCATTCTCACTTGTTAGAATGCAACAATGCAAAGAACATGGGCAGGAACAACTAGGTTCACAGGAACAGAGTCCAGGTTTATGGCAGGGGAATTTTACTGTTGGATAATTCATAACCTCTAAAAAAAATAAAAAAAAAATAAATTAAGCCCACCATATTCAAGCAACCAAGCTTTATGTATAACCAAGAAATCTTTTATGGGTGGACTGTACATTTACAGATCATTATTGGCACATGAATTCGTCATGCTGTATTTTCTGCACAGACATCCCTCCTTCCCATTTGTAAAAGTTGGAAGTATGTATCACAGCTGACTTCTTCAGAAATGATCTCTTTTCCCATGGCACAAGGCAAGCCTTCTGTGCTTTGTGTAGGGTGAGCCGTCAGCATGACTTGGTAAAGGGGCATTAATGAATAACTCGTAAAGTTGCTAATAGTCTGCTCTTCAATGCAGATATAGTAGGCATCCGTCCCCGTGTTCTAGGCACAACCTCAAGTATTGTCTATGAAAATTTTCATTTCTAGAAATGCCCCTGGTACATGGTCCTCCAAACTGCATCATGAGGGGGGGTTTTTTTCAACAGTCTCTAAAAATAAAAAAAAATAAAAAATATATATATA